CACTCATTAAGAGCCATATAATGACTTGAACTTTTATATAGGAGCCGTGGCACGCATAATCTCAGAATTTCTCCAAACTCTCTACGATAAAAGTCTTTGATAGCGTAAACTCAAATCAGGCAAAAATAGGTTTCTACGTGTCATGGTTACCATAGCAACATGTCCTTAAGTTTGAAAAATGGCATTTTCAACATGTTCAGAGTCCCATAGTTAACGTTTGCAGCAAAGTAAACAAGTGGCAATGACTATTTTGAAAGTTGAAGGCCTGATGTCTTAAATGCATGATAAACATGTTTGGTAAATCAACTATTACATACGTTACTATGGAAATAAAGCATTCAAAAGTAATAATTTTGTTCATTTAAATTTATAAAGTCATACACCTAAGAATAAAAGCAATTTTAGGTTGAAATGTAAGCAAATAATAGACAAAATATCCTTGTAGCATATACCAAGGGCGAAATATGATATTTCTTATAGGTTGGCAACGGTTGCCATGGTTTTGATACCACCAAGGGATTTTAAATTTACTCTCTTAGTGTTTTAATCCTATCCTATCTTTTTAAAAAGCATATTTTTGTATAACTGATGATCAATTTTAAAAGGCGTTGGTGTGACCCTAATTTTCACATTTCAAAAAATTGAAATTAAATTCTTTAAATAGAGCGTTGCTATGGAAATTAGCGGAAAAAATATGCGTAAAAATCTGAAAAATAACCTGGTTTTTTTTTTTTTTTGGATACGTACCCTTGTATGTAGATTCCCAAAACTTTTATGATTGATTTTTATGAACATCTTACCTGACTTTCAATTTTGACTACCACCCAATTTCTAAATGGATGCAAAAAGCTGCATTTTCACTTCTTGGTAACCATAGCAACAGTGTTGTATTTTTCATAAAACTTTATCAATATATGATATTCAACTTTAGTTCTACCAGATATTTACTATTCAAGGTGAGTCAAATATATGTTTCTTGATTTAAGGGTAAGTAAATTCCTAAAGCAGCAAAAAAAAAAAAAAAAAAAAAATCACTTTAAACAACTGGTACGTTGTTTCCATGGTTACTCTGCAAAGTAACAATTAATCCCAATTTTTCTAATGTTGTCGGTGTTGCAAGGTCCTAAGGATGTATATGTGCCAGTCATGAATTTTGTTGTTTTTCCTCAAGATAGTATCATTAACCCAATCTTAGCAACAGATTTTGCATGATTACGCGGTGTTACCATGGCAACCATGAAACTTATTTTTTGGAATAATATTGCCAAGACCTAATTACTTAAGGTCAAATATTTTTATTGTTTTTCTTAGGTTGTTGATTGAGTTTGATCATGTAACACCTATTATTAGTGAATATTGAGCGTTTTTCAGCATTTATGTATTCCGAATGTACCCATGGTTACCACTTACTCAGAGATATATTCTAAATAGTTTCTTTATAGCATAAGTGGCAACAGGGTGTCATGTTTTTGTGAGAATGTTTGTTTGTTTTTCTTAGTCTTTATTAAGGCTTATAAAGATTCAAAGTAGCTGAAAATCTCAATTTTTCCCAACTTTTCTGGCTTTTACCATGGCAACCAAGACATGTAGCAACAAAATTTTATTTGATATATGTTTCTGGTGTCAAGTTGTAATAATGGGCAAAGTTTCGTCAAAATCGGTGACCATGCGTGGCAAAGAAGTTTAAGTGGTAACAGAGAATCGCTATTTACTAGCTCAAATAATGCGGGACCGGACTGGACCCAATGGTGTGCGTAAGGAAACGCATTTTGTGATCTCAATATTTAGGGAATGTCCCACGTATCTATTAATGTGAAATGAATAAAAATGAATATGGTGAATTAATGAAATTTAAGATTGGTGACACGGATTCTTGTAAAAAATTCCCTGCAAGAAATTCAGTTTACCGTGGATTCAATAGGAATATTTTATTAAATTGTAAATATTTATTTACGCTGCCACACAGTAATTACCTACATTGCTCATGTTAAATTGTGGGATTTGTCAGAGCTTTTTCAGTATACATTTTTATCGCTTTTTGTTTTCAGTTCAATGTTACCTGTAGCTGTCCAATAAGTTGAATCTTACTGGACACATACAGATATCTTATTGGACGGGGTACAGGACAATAAGAAATCTACTGCAGGGATGACATCACCAAAATGTTTTATTTTCTGTTATGAATAAAATGGATGCATGTAAGTCTACTGCTAGATCTTAGATGGGTAAAATTAAGACAATCAAAGATCGTTTAATTCCATTTTGATCATAGGCATAGAGAATACAATAGTTTTGGAAGTCGGAAGAAAGCAGTTAAACTTGTAAAACCACACTCAGATAAAGTTGTAGATACACCCACTACGATCAATATAAAAGACACAGGATTCTTGTCAGAACACCACATGAGTAAAAATATAATGTGCTTCGTATATTTTCAACAAATTCTTAATGATAATGTAAATTATTATTTATTCACAATTCGTAAATACATCAAATTGATGGTTATTCCAAATCTTCCAAATCTGTTAACCGTTCACGGTAGCTCAGTCGGTAGAGCGCTCGCTCCTTGATCGGGAGGTCGTGAGTTCGAATCTCGGCCGCGACAGACCTAAGTCGATTAAAAATAGGTAGCAACTGTTCCTTCGCCATGCGCTCGGCACTTTGAAGTGAAAGTTGCGGGTCCCTCGGATGAGATCTTAAAAACCGAGGCCCCGTGTCACGGCAGGCCCTCACTGCTCAATGGCCCTGAGTGCCGAGTAAAGGTCAAAATTTGAAGCCCTTCACCGGTATATGGTGACGTCTCTATATGAGTGAAAAATTCTCGAATGGGACGTAAAACTACATACAATCAATCAATCAATCCAAATCTGTTAAAGAAAAAAAAATTCAGGGGTATAGCTTTGAAAATTTTATTAAAAGCAATAAAATTTATCAAAATTAGGATTAGCAATTATTCTATACAACAAAGTGTTAGTACTTTATTGCAGTAATTAAAAACCTACCCATTGTCAGTCATTTAAGTAAAATAAAAAAAACCTTGACACACTCTAATCAATACAATTTGTTTTAAGAGCCATTCTCTGTACCGACTTGAACTTTTATATAGAAGCTGTGGCACGCATAGTCTCAGAATTTCTCCAAACTCTCTATGATAAAAGACTTTGATACCGTAAACTCAAATCAGGCAGAAATTGGTTGCTACGTGACATGGTTACCATGGCAACATGTCCTAAAGTCTGAAAAATGGCATTTTTCAACATGTTCAGAGTCCCACAGTTAACGTTTGCAGCAAAGCAAACAAGTGGTAATGATTGTTTCTGAAAGTTGAACGCCTGATGTCTTAAATGCGTGATAAACATGTTCGGTAAATCAACTATTACATACGTTACTATGGAAACAAAGTATTCAAAATTAATAATTTTGCTCATTTAATTTTATAACATCATAAACTTAAGAATAAAAAAAAAATTATAGGGTGAAATACAAGCAAATAATAGACAAAAGATCCGTGTAACATATACCATGGAAGAAATATGGTATTTCTTACAGGTTGGCAATGGTTGCCATGGTTTTAATACCAAGAAGGGATTTTAAATTTACTCTCTTAATGATAAAATCTAATCCTATCTTTTTAAAAAGCATATTTCTATATAACTAATGATCAATTTTTTAAGATGTTCATGTGACCCTAATTCTCACATTTCAAAAAATGCAAATTCAATTATTTAAATAGAGCGTTGCTATGGAAATAAGCCGAAAAAATATGCATAAAAATCTGAAAAATATTCTGTTTCCTTGGATACGTACCCTTGTATGAAGATTCCCAAAACTTTTATGATCGGTAATTATGAACAACTAACCCGACTTTCAAATTTGACTGCCACCCAATCTCTAACTGGATGCAAAAAGCTGGAACATAGGGTTTAATATTGATATAAAATTAACAAAATCGAACATATTCCCTTCTTGGTTACCATAGCAACAGTGTTGTATTTTTCAACAAACATTATCAATATATGATAATCAACTTTAATTTTACCAGATAAGTACTATTCAAGGTGAGTCAAATAATATGTTTCTTGAATAAAAGGTAAGTAAATTCCAAACGCAGCAAAAAAATATCACTTAAAACAACTGGTACATTGTTTCCATGGTTACACTGCAAAGTAACAATTAATCCCAATTTTTCTTATGTTGTCGGTGTTGCAAGGTCCTAAGAATATATATGTGCCAGTCATGAAATTTATTGTTTTTCCTGAAGATAGTAGCATTAACCCAATCTTAGCATCACATTTTGGATGGTAACACTGTATTACCATGGCAACCATGAAAGTTATTTTTAGAATAATATTGCCAATACCTAATTACTTAAATGCGTGTCTACGAGAAAACCATGCAAAATCCAAATTTTATTATGAAAGGCATTGTGATCATTTTGACTGATTTTATTGTTTCTGATTAGCATCATGTGTCCTCTAATAAATCCCAGTATCAAAACTGTCAGGTACCTTTGGGGATCCCTATTATAGCCCTACATTCTATTTTTAGCACATTTTATGAAAATATTTTGAAAAACACCCATAGATTAAGAGAAAAAAATTGCAGGAAAAAATGCACTTTTATTCAAATGTTACATATTAAATAAATTTAAAGGAAGTGCTCTAACTAGAAATATTGTATTTAATTTCATTTATCAACACTGATTCTGTAAAAGTGGGGTCTAAAATTAGATTAAATCAATGTGTTTAAAATACCACTATCTTTAGAATGCTGTAAAAACCCAAGAAACGCTTAAAACATTATAAATATCAGTTTAATTGCAAAAATCCTTCAAAATCAATATATAGTTAAAAGGAATTTGGTTGCAAATGGCATTATGCTAATTTAAAAATAGATTGAAGTTGGCTGAAACTATTAGAAAAATTATCTCCCTTAGTGGAACTCTCCTTATTTAAAGGAATTAAAAGTGCGATGTCTTAATGGCAGACGAAAAGATGAAGTGTTGATTTGAGGACAATATTATGATAAAAGATCTCTAGCTTTGTTGAAAGATTGTAAAATAGATTCAGTTGAATATACAAGGTATTTTAAATGCAGCACATAAGACATTTCTGTCCGTGAAACGCTTCTTATCGTTAACCATCTTGAACCATACAGCTGTTATGGGACTTGGACAGTCTAATTTCTGTAAACATACCTACATGTACATGTATGTGTCAAACACAGAAATATACTTGGTCTACACTGGAAAAGGAAAAAAGAACATGTTGTCACCCATACCTGATAGGGGAGACGCTATTATGCAAACCCGTTAACCGAGAGGGTCAAGCTGAATGAGGTTTTGCCTGTTGGAACTGGTAAGAACATTATGCAGTTTAAAAACTTAAGAAATTTTGCTAAACCATTGAAATTAACTTAATTTCTGACCTTAAAGTTTTCAGAGAGACACTGTACATGATATTTGGGTTGTCAATAAGAAATGAAACAGATTTATAAAAAAAAAAAAAAAAAAAAGCATGTTGGGGGTTCCTCCCCTCAGTGAGGGTTGAGAGGGCAATACCAGAGTAATTGGGGAATTATGTCATTATAGGTGAAGAAATTCCCCAGTCCCACAGGTCTTAAGGACAACCCTATACATGTAAATATAATATCACAAAGTGATATCATAATTGGAAATATTTACTGACTTTGTGTTTATAGTTTGTGAAAACCTATTGATATCAAGTTTATACAACTTACATGTCCAATCTATAATGATTTATATCTATCAACTAATTTGATTCCTAATTGTTACAGGTATATGCAAAAGATGTATAGAAACACACTTTAAAAAATCAGTATGGAAGTAAAGCTGAAGGAAGAGCTTAAAGGTACATATACATACACTGTGTGTTTATAATTATATGTAAAAGTTTTATCAAATTATTTCTAAAATTTACTCAGTAACTTATACATCAAGTTTCACTTATGAAGCAAAATTACCTGCTTTTATTATGTTATAGCTGAAATACATGTAAAAAGTGAAAACTCTTGAGCAGCAGTCCACTTGCTAATTCTTGTTCTCATTTGAGTATATTTAGTACTCACATAAATTAAGGATTCTACAGTAAATGTTGATGAATGGCTTTTACACTCAATAGTTTCATAATATTGATCATTTCACATGTAAATGATCCGATCCTGTTTGGAAATAAAATTTCAATTGCATATTGTTTTGAATTAGTTCTAAAAATAAAATCTCAAGTGTGATTTCAGTTTCATTTTATGTGTACATAACTGGTTATAAGTATTCATGTAACTATGAGGATTATTAAGTATTGTATAGTTAATATTAAAATTAATGTTTATTCTTTAGCAGAAATGTGTTCCTATTGACAAGGCAACAATTGAATCAAACCAAACAGGTGATCACTTACTGTAATATAATATAATATTTTTAAGGTTCTACATAATAATAAAGATAATGTCAATGTTTAATATCTCAAAAAATAAAATTAACAAATATGTTTCATTTCCACACTGAAAAATATAACCAAGTGGACATTGTTCTCATGCAGTTCAATGACATGAACCAGAGTTTGTACATGTGGTTAACATTTTATAATGTATACATACAAGTTACTATAATCATGATAATATACATGTAACTGCTCATTCACATTACTGATAAGTAAAATAACAAAGAACAGTTTATGTGAAGTAAGGTCTAAATGGTGAAGATGCCTGAATATGTGACTGATAAACTGAAAAGTCCAGTCCATATAGTTCAAGTTTTGAGCTTTAAAATTATTTAATTATGATTCATTCAAAATGTTTCAGCATTAGCCTTTTTAGCATTAACTGTAATGTATAAGGGTATATATACTTCATGGCTTTTTCAATTATTTTACAGAGCAAAGAGTGGAGGAAAATGGAAGAAGTCATGGACTTAACAGAAAACATATGACCTAATACCTGCAGGTAACAGCCTCCCCCCCCCAAACCCCCCCCCCCCCCCCCAATAAATGTTTATTGGTCTGTCCATTGGTCATTCTGTCTGCACATGTATGTACTATAACACTTTAATTTGGGAACAATATCTCTTAAAGCCTTTGAGCTTTTGCAATATCATTTCATATCACAACTCCTTACAGCCTAGAGAAGATCCCTATTGGTTTGAGGTCAAAAGGTCAAGGTTGGAAATTCCTACAATACAAAAAAAGCTCAAATAATAACTTTAGTTTCCCTTGAGCTTTTTCTGTTAAATTTTATATCATAATTCCCAATGACTTAAAGAAATCCCCTTTGATTTCAAAGTTAAAAGGTTTAGTTGAAAAATTCATATCTTGCAATAAATAATGTCCTGGTGATAACTTTGGTTCTCTTTGAGGTCTTGAATTTATTTCTTTAATAAAAAAAGACACCAATTGACTTTAAGGCCAAAAGCTGAAAGGTTAAGGTTGACCTTTTTCTTTTTCCATCTGCATTTTTTTTTTGGTCCAGTTCTTCCATCCTCATTTTTTTCCATAAGTGGGGGCCACAATTCTCTGAATTAGCTTGTTTTATATTTGGATCATGTGCAGGTTTGCATTAAACTCAATTAGCCATTTAAGGGATTTGGATCTCTTACAAAATAGGAAATAAAGGTGATTCAGGCTAGCATTGCCAAGGTCCCTTTGTTGTAAAATTGAAATTATTCCCTAATTCCCAATGTCATTTAGAACATCAAAATACATGCTCTTTTGCTTTTGGGTATAAATGAAAATTTACTGTACTAAAATGTCTTCTTTGATTATCATAATTATTGCAATATCAATTATGAACTTTAATTCAAACATCAATTTGTCATTGCTTTTACAGATTTTGAATTCATATCATCAGTGCATATAAATTGGTCAAAAGATGAAAGATCTCAGCATAAATTGTTCAATCATGCAAAGCATATCCTGTCAAATGGAGATTACCCTCCCTTAAAGTGTCAAGTATCTCAGAAATTGGACTATTTGCAATGCTGTTCAGGAATATTTTACAGTCAGTACATTTAGCAATAGGGCCTGTTGCACCATGCCAAGGTACAGAGTTGATGCTTCAAGCTGTCGACGGCATTCCAAAGGAAAAGGATGAAACTTTTTTTTAGCTTACCTGAGCCGAAGGCTCAAGTGAGCTTTTCTGATCGAAATATGTCCATTGTCTGTCGTCGTCGTTGTCGTGGTTGTAAACTTTTCACATTTTCATCTTCTTCTCAAGAACCACTGTGCCAATTTCAACCAAACTTTCCACAAAGTATCCTTGGGTAAAGGGAATTCAAGTTTGTTCAAATGAAGGGTCACACCTTCTTCCAAGGGGAGATAATCATGAATTTGTGAAAAATTGATGGCATCACCTAAAAACTTGTCAAGAACCACTGTGCTTGAAAATATGAAACTTATATGGAAGCATCCTCAGGTAGTGTAGATCCAAGTTTGTTCAAATCATGACTTCCAGGGGTAGGGTGGGGCCACAATGGGTGATCAAAGTTTTACTTAGGAATACATAGGAAAAAGCCTTTAAAAATCTTCTTCTCAGAAACAGCAAAGCCATGATTGATCATATTTAAAAGGAAGCATCCTCAAGTAGTGTAGGTTCAAATTTGTTCCAATCATGACCCCCGTGAGTAGGGTGGGGCCAGAATGGTTGATCAAAGTTTTGCATATAATACATGTACATAGGAAAAATTTGTAAAAATCTTCTTCTCAAGAACAGCAAAGCCATGATTGGTCATTTTTATATGGGTGCATCCTCAGGTAGTGAAGATTCAAGTTTGTTCCAGTCATGACCCCCCCTCCCCCCAGGGGTAGGGTGGGGCCACAATGGGTGATCAAAGTTTTACATAGGAATACATAGGAAAAAGCCTTTTAAAATCTTCTTCTCAAGAACAGCAAAGCCATAATTAGTCATATTTAAATGGAAGCATCCTCAGGTAATGTAGACTCAAATTTTGTTCAAATCATGACCCCCCCCCCCCCCCCAAGAGAATAGGGGGGCCATAACAGGGGATCAAAGTTATACAAAGGAATACAAATGTTATATCAATAAAAATTGTCTTGTTAAGAACAGCATAGCCATTATTTGTCATATTAATTCAAATATTATTTTGCTTTATTTCAGTGTAGTAGCTTCAAATGAGTTTTTAATTTTTTTTTTTTTTTTGACAATTTAAAATTAGAGATCATCTTAGTAATAAAATTTTTTATAATGTTGCTGTCTTTAAATTTTCTCTGTAAAAGTAACATGTACATGTACATGATACATTTGGTATTTTTCAAATGCAGTTGAAGGAATTTAATTGAGCATTGTCAAATATTTCATTTAAATACTAGTTGTGTTTTTATGACTTTATGGTATTAAAAAAGACATAAACTTTGTTCTGTTCATTCATTTGTATAATTTTAGGGCAAACAAAATCAGCATTTTTATAAAATGTTTTGCATGTTTAAAAACAACTTTTGCAATGAAGAACTGTATGAAATTTGGGCAACACTGTGAAAAAGTGGATTTTATTTACTGATGTGTTCACACTTTTGAACAATCTCTCTGTTAAACTTGCAATTTTATGTATTTGCAGTTTTTGCAATGTGCATTTTCATGCTAAGGGATCCTGTAAAATGAGCCCCATAGCTACATGTATAGCCAGTTCATTGCTATAATACATTAAGCCTTGTCAAAAACTCATGATTTTTAGCTCTACTGGTTAGAGACCAGAAGAGCTTATGCGATAGTAAGGGGTTGGTCGTCTGTCTGTCCGTCAACAAAAGCTACTCCTACAGTTTTGGTCTGATTCCAATATTACTTGGCACAAGTAAAGTACACTGAGATACATAATTTTTTTTATCGGATTTTGATTTTGATGAACGGTGTTGCTATGGTTACTAAAATAGAAATTTCTGTAAAATTCTTTTAAAATCTACTCCCCCTTTAGTTTTAGTCAGATTTCCATGAAAAGAGACCAAATCAAGGATCATTATTCTATTTATTTCTGTTGCAAAGTCAAGTCCAACTGCTACTTATCTCTTCCTTTGTTAGAAGTACAAACCAGTAGAGCTACAGTCTCGAAAAAGACTTCTGGTTAAACAAATATTCAAATCATGCATCTTTGTGACATTCTGGATAAATATAAGCTAATTTCAGTCATGAAGATTGAAGGTCATGTGCCTGAAATGATTTAACGTTCAAAATGTAATCACTCTAGTAGTCCAGTATGCCTTTCTACCCAGATATTGTGTAATTTTGCTAGGGTGAAAAAATCAACTAATTCAAATGTGCCACCAAATTGCCTGTTATTTTTACTTAAATATCTTAAAACAAATACTTCTTGATAAAAAATATAATCACTGAAGTGTCTCTTAAAATTCTATGCCTGTTTTTTCTACAGAATATCCCTTAGAATTATTGTGACCTTTTTGCACTTGCAGTTCAGCACTTACAAGAGTGAAAACTCCATTAATTTAAATTTGCAACCAAAATCCCATTAATACTAAATAATATATTTAAAAACAATCACTTTTTAAAAATATGAAATCAATGGAAGCGTTTCTTGGAATTTTATAGCTGTTTTTCTGCAGACTATTCAAATATCTTTATTTCTTACAATTATCGTGACCTTTTTGCACTCGTAGCTCTTCACATTCAAAAAGGTATGTGGAAAAAATTCTGTAAATATTTTTTTCAAAGGTTTTAATTCCTTAAATCCATTAGTTATGAAGATATTATGGAAATTTTTTATACACAAACAGAATATGTACAAAAGGTGTTATTTTTCCATACTGGGTATAGAAATAGGCTGACGATAAACTAATTCTCCCTGTATCCATGGTAACAAATCAAATGACGTCACCAAACTTACGCAGTAAGTAAGTGACCTTGATCTCACTTTGTATGCAAAGTTTCAAGAAATTTTGAAAAACTTGCTTTCATAGCATTCTGCATGGTTTTCTCGTAGACACGCATTTAAGGTCAAATATTTTTATTGTTTTTTCTTAAGTTGTTGATTGAGTTTGATCATTTAACACCTATCATTAGTGAATATTGAGCGTTTTTTCTGCATTTTTCAGCATCTAAAATGTATTCCAAATGTACCCATGGTAACCACTTATTTCATATTTCAACCTTGTTTTTTTTTTTTTTCTTCCTACGGTCTTTGAAAAACAACAACAACATAATTTTCATTAATTACTTGTGTTTGTTTATTCAAAGGGAATAAACCATATCGTTATGTTTTCATGTTTGTTTCATTGCAGAATAAACCACATATTCATGAAATATCCATTGTTAATTTATCACAAAAACTATATAACTATTTTCATCAGTTAATTATATTTTTTATGTTTGTTTATTTCTAATGGAATATAAATCATTTCATGCCAAGTGATAATATCTATGAGGAATGGAAGCCATGCATTCGAGGTTCGACATTGTGGAATTTGCAACACTTGTAATATCATTTAAACAGAGAATGCATCTCTGTAAATACATATACCATTCTGTATTTAATTCTTTACTTTATCAGATTATAAAATTAACATATACTGATCAAATTTATCTTTGAGATTGTGCTTCTTTTTAGGCTTTTGTAATCTCAGTCTAGTTTATCTTCTATCCTCTTTACCCTGTAAATACCGGGTCTGTGTGCATTCAAGCGAGAAATTCACACCTGACATGCAGTAAATAAACAAAGGGACTTAATTTGTATGCATTAGAAAAACAAAGCCTTTCATGCGACCAAATTTTATTCGATGTTTATGTATCAGAAAGCGTATTTCACGATCTTATTCATTTATTTTTAAAAATGGCTGTACAAAAAGGGCATGACGCCTTATAAAAAGAACATTGCGCCACATGAAAATGGCGCTGCGCCATGCTTAATCCTCAAGGAAAAAACTACTTCTATGGTTCAGTGTAGAATGAACAGATGAAAACTTGCAGATAATAATTGAGAGATACCGCGATTCGAAGATTGCAGCCATGGTCGGTGTCGCATAAAATTTGGTCCGCCTCGTTTAAAGGTCCGGGGGACCTAATACGATAACATATAAGGTCCGCCTTTTATAAGAAAAGGTCCGGCCCGTATAAGAAAAGGTCCGCCGAAGTTTAAAGGTCCGGGTGGTGCAAAATGTTTTAATCTTGACTTAAACACATAAAATTATTGAGAGTTTGTTTACATCATATGAAGAAAGATTAAGGATTTACATGTACCCTAGCTGTTGTGTTTATTTTTTGTACAGTATATCTCTTGGGGCAGGATTTGCTACTCAATGTTTAGTGTGCTTTTAGCAATGCCGTTTAGGGCAATGATTTTTTTTTTAAAAAGTCGCATTTATTTGGCTTGTGTTTGTTTTTCCCCAGCATTTGATTTGTGTAAATTAGGACGATTAAAGGTGTGTATAGGCAATAAAACAATGGGGTGTGAAGTTATTCGTATACCTGACAGGTACGCGCAGGTAGAGCCTGCGGCAGATAGCAATGACAATGTAATGGTCATGTGTTTGCTTTAAATCAATAGATATGAATTCTCTATTTTAATAAATTATGCTGAAGAACAAATTATAATACTATTATGATATTCATGCGTACACACCAAAATTGTGATATATATATAATTATATATAGTCTATTTTTATTACAATATTTAAAGAAATTTCTTATTCCAAGTGTAGAGTTTAATACTAAGACCGATAAAAAATAAAAGTATGTATATGCTTCCCTTTAGTTTTAACAATTACATGTAACTTGTTTTCAGTTTATAATCAAACTTTGGCCCTTTATTTGTGGATAGGGTAATATATAGCCTAATGTTGTATTCGATCTATATTTACTGCAGAAACAAAATACATGTAATGTTAAAGCTTAAAACAGGTAACTCAATGTTGAAAACATATACATCAGATTTAAAGTATAATCATGGTTTGGATTTAATTCTTTCTTATAAAAATATCACTCTTCCTCGTCATAATGAACTACATATGAAATAATATTTGTATACCCGGTATTTATATTGCATTGTATATTTATATATTATGAAATAATGTTTGAATTTTTTTTTTAATTGCCAAAAGAAAGAAAGAAAAAGAAATTACACATTTTACTGTGACTATGATAGCCATACTGTTGGATAATCTAACAGGCTGTATTGCATGACCGATTAAAATTTGAAATCATTATTGTAAAATATTTTCTTTTATTACCGACATGAAGCATTTTGGGCAAAGTTGAATGTCCAGTTCTATATACAAGTCATTTATGTATCTCACGTCTGTATGAACGGGGGAAGGGAGAAGGAACATCAGTTGATGCTCTTCCTTTTTTGCGTATCAAGGAATTTCTCTATATTTCAGATATCTTACTATTACAAAGGGGAAAATTTTGAACAGGGTTTATTTTCGTAAAAATTAGGGAAAGAGGCAGGGCGGACCTTAAAACGCAGTATAATGAAAGGTCCACCCTCTATATTTCAGATATCTTACTATTACAAAGGGGAAAATTTTGAACAGGGTTTATTTTCGTAGCATAAAAATTAGGGAAAGAGGCAGGGCGGACCTTAAAACGCTGTATAATGAAAGGTCCACCCTCTATATTTCAGATGTCTTACTATTGCCAGGCGAAAATTTTGAACAGCTAGCTAGGGTTTATTTTCGTAGCATACAAACTAGAGAAAGAGACAGGGCGGACCTTAAAACGTAGTATAATAAAAGGTCCGCCCTCTGTGTTTTAGATATCTTACTATAACAAAGGGGAACATTTTGAACAGGGTTTATTTCAGGGATGGGGTCAATTACTTTAAAAAGTAATTAATTAAATTACAATTACTTTGACTTTTTCTTCAATTAAATTATAGGCTTTCTAAGACATGTAATTAATTAAATTACAATTACTTTGCAAAAGTAATTAATTAAATTACAAATTACATTTCTAAGTTTTTTGAAAATTTTTATAATCCTTTTCAATGAATATACAGAACATCATTTATTTGTATATAAGCTCAGCCTCTGCACAAACAGTACAAGAAATAAAATTCTATAGGCATTGTGTATCATTGTGGTTTAATTTATAACATTCATTTACA